TGGAGGCATCCATAATAGTGTCAAAATAAAAAGAAGAGAAAATTCTGTAATCATATTGAAGCATATAAATGAGCAGGACTCCTTCCTGAATGTGTTAGGAAGTTCAGAATCAAATGGATGGTCTACCTCAGTTCATGTCTTAGGTGTGCAGATATGGATATCATAATTATAGGTTTTATCTTCCTTCATATCACATGTACCGCATAAGCTACTTCGACTTGGCTTTTGGAAAAGATGGAGAATAAATATATAACACATCAATGTCAGCGCCCATATGGCTCGATGAGAATAACGAGGGAAAAAGGAACCAGAATGGTTTTCTAAAAGTATACTTTCACTTTTATGACACTCACTCTATGGGTGTAGCTAAATTTAGTCATGAAGTTGGATGCAGAAATAAACATGTTTGTTTATATGCTGGTGTATCTGTTTAATCTTTCTATATAAATTATATCTCTGGGAATTTAAATCCACAGCTGGCGGAAAGAATTATTACTAATCGTGATTTAGACAGAATCTAAGGCAGGATGTGGTACGCATAGATAATTATATAATATCTGATCATGATAAAGCCACAGGTTTTTTTGTTTAATAAAACAAAATAGCTTCTGAATTCTATTCATAAAAACTAAAGACTCTGAAATTATTTAGTCTCACTAAAGAGATACTTAAAGAACCACCTAATAGTAATATTCAAGCCTACAAAATAAAGCCCATCCAGAAAAGAGAGTACTGTAATTGTTTTCCACATACATGGAGAATTAAGGATTACACCTTCTGGGAACCCTTCTGGGGGTTCCCCAAGAACACTTAGGTGGCATCTTCCTCCCATTTTCCTCTGCTTCTCTACACATCACAAACAAAACAATTATCAAATTATATCCTCATTGTATATTTGCTTATATGGCACTCTGCTAGACTGTAAACACTTCGAATAGTGTTGATGCTTTCACCTATGAATCACCAGCCCTTTGAGTTGGGGGGGAGTAGCGGGAATACTTATTGACTGCTTCCTGTGAGTTCTAGTTACAGTACTAGGTGTTTTGCCTATATAACTACATTTATTGCTGACAACACTGTGAGTAGATATTCTGATCCACATTTTCCAAGTAAGAAAAATGAGGCTGGATCATAGAGACTATACACATCAGTATCAAAGCTCAGCATTTAATTGTTAAATGTCATGACAGAAGGGTCCTAGGCCACAGTGGCATCTGAAACTGAGGTTCACTACCTATAAGACAAATCTCATTAAAATTATAATAAAGGGATTTTTTTTAAAGCTGCTAGTTAGAGGGAACCATCGATGAGCATCTGCACAGAGGCTAATAAAGGAAACAAAGCTGTCGTGTTTCCTAGTTTCAGAGAGGGCAAAATGGGGCTCAGACAGCACTATTGTCCCCAAGGCCAATACAGAATGCCAGGCAATTGGGCATAAAAGCAGAATGTTTTCACCCTAAAGTGAAATCTGCCAATTAAACCTGTGCATATAAAGACTCACAATTTACTTTTCTATTGCCATATTATTACATGTGAATGGATAAACATTCAATGTGAGACACTGAGATCAAGAGAAACCAACGTAACAACTGACCTCAAGAAAATAAAAATAATATAGAGAATAGATGTGAATGTAAAAGTCAGAGACACTTATGAAGCTATTGTGACCCCAAATTAAGAACATGATGCTATGAACTAGGGATATTCAAAGAAAAAGAAAGTGTTCTTATAAATATATATGAGGTTATCTATCTATCTATAAATACACAATGACCAGGGATAGAGAGAAATGGCAACACTGAGGTATCTTTCAGGTATGATTATCAGTCTTCTACTGTTTTTCTTTACATTTTCATAGTTTCTAAATTTTCTACAATGAGCACACAGCACTTTTATAATCAGAAACTTCACACACTGCTTCCAGTTCTCTGCAAGAAAAAGAACAGTACTACACCAACAATTTATTGTCTAATTTCTATGGCCAATGTGCATGAAAAATAAACTAAAATTAAATGTATACAAAAAATGTAGCTACTTTATATTGTTAAAATTTTTTAAGAAAATTGAAAATGAATCTCAGCAACATATGAATAATTTAGCTGCTTGTGAGTAATGGTCTCTTCATTTATATATATCTGCTGAAAACAAATCCGGGTCACTTTTTAATGATTATAACACACATTAAATCTCTAGGGCTGATATGTTCAATGAAGTAAAATTTTTAAAAAGCCCACTTACTTCGGAGGAACTGTCACAGTATTCCCAAAATGGGAGAGGGAGAAGTCAGCAGCATCTCTTCCAATGATTGTAGCTTTATACACTAACTGTTTCAAGCTTGAACTTTTCACTAGAACCTACGTAGCAGAGCAAGAGAGGAAAAATAAGATCATGAGGTTTTAAACCTGTACAACATTTCTTATTTTTATCAAAGAGAGTTATACATTTTAATCATGAAAATATTTGTTCCTAATGTGCACTACTGGAGGAAAGCAGACTTTGTATTTGAAGACAGCATATAGTTTAGCAAAAGTGGGCAGGGAGAAGCAGCTCTGAAGCAAGGAAATGACGCAAAGATTTGAAGTCGAAAGTTAGCAACTTGGATTTTATTCTTATTGCAAAGGGAAATCTTTGGAGAATTTTAAACCTAGGACTTTCATAACCCAATTTACAAAAAGGATACTGTGGCTGCTCAGTGTGGAAAGTTATAAAGAGTGGAGGTTTAAAATCAGAGGTCCAGGCTGGCAATAGTGGTAGCCTCTTCTAGAAGCAACAATATAGCTAGGGTCTTGTTGCCCCTTCCCTCTCAATGCTGGGAGATGGAGAGTACTGAGGAATGTTACTTCATTTTCAGAGACAGCATTCCATGAAAACCTGATTATACAAGTCTTTATGTAGAATATAATGGGGATTCCAAAGAAAACACACACACACATTAGGAAGACACAAGGTTATCATGGAAAGTACTGAGTCAAAAGAGGAAGAAGACCTGGGGCAAATGGATGATTGACCAAATCACAGTAAAGGAAAGGTAACTGCACTTAGGTGGTCCAGGAACCAGACACACAGATATTTGAAGGGTTAATAATTAGCACTATGTGTGATTATAGTGAATCATAAGGAATATGGTAGAGACTTGTTGAAAGATTAAATTAACTACATTTATATTTCAATGAAAACTTTGGTAACTAGCATGACAAGTATACTGTTGCTGAAGAGTTTCTGTTCAGTTATCCCAAGGATTTTGGGATCTTATGTTGCTTGCCTAGCTATAGGTATCAGCACCTAAAGAATTAATTAACAGACCAACTGTTTTTAAGTCCCAGAGAGTTCATTTCCATTTTCTGGAAGGAAAAGTTAAAAATAATAAAAAATTCACTATGCACTATTATTGGCTTCTAGTCCTGGAACTTCCATAACCAGCCCTGAGATCTTAAGGAAGACATTCATTCTCATTGTCATATCACGTGTATGACACAAAGTCATTGGGTTCATCTGTGGTGAGAGTATTACACCCAACTCTAGGATTTCATGTAGGGGTGGCGAGTGGTACATGGGGAGAAAGGAATGCTGTTGAAGGGAAGCAAAGACAGCTTTGGAGTCTTAATTCCCGTTTTGCAATGTCAGTATTTAACTATTGTGCTTCTGTGTAAAGTTTGTTTCGAAAAAGGGGGGAAGGTCAATAACTTTAAAATTGTCTCAGAAAAATCACTGCACCGTACATTTTTTTCATTAATTAGCATATGGCTTAATGGTTCCAGTATTCTATGTTTCTATTTGAGACATATAGCTACAGAAATACCTTTTCAATTATAGTTACCATTTCCTGTGATTTTTCTTTACTCGGGAAGATTGAAAGGGTTGATAGGAATGACATTCTATGACTTAGACGCTGCCATTTATGGTGCTGATGCATAGGGCAAACTATGTCTAAGTTTCTCAGCAACCTCCATATTAATCATTTTTCTTGTATGAAATTTAAAAGCAAAGCTTGCTGCAATTGATGTTTTGTTTACCATTTATATTTAATTTTGATTGTTTCCTTCAAAAAATGCATCTTGCATTTGTGAAAAATAAAAGCTGTGTCTATATAATGTCATCTATAATCTTAAGGTGTGAACAATATTTCTAATAAAAAATTAAATTGGAAAGAAATCATGTTCCCATTTTAATATGCTTTAACTTGATTTTTAACATCACAATTAAAATTTGTTTAAATATGAACTTGTGTTATTAACTAATTTAAAAAAAATAACAATTAAATGCCATAACGAAATACAAACATGTGGTCATAGTTAAAGAACTGTGAATACTTAACTGTAATAAATCACTGCTTAATCTAATTCAGACTCCTTCTATCTTTTGCAGACTTAAGCAAAACATGCCTAGCTCTTCAGAAATTTTATTTTGAAGTCAGGAGTCCTCTCCAATATAATTATAGCTCTAGGCTAGTTAGCACCCAAGGCCCTTGAATATCAGTAGAGTTAAGGAATTATCACAGTAAATAATGTTCAAAAAGGATCTAAAGCATTTTATATCTCTTTTTCTGGCAAAAGGGGAAAGAAAAAAAATTTAAAAAAGGAATTGTATCTTAATATTTGCTAACCAAAAATAAAATCAAAAGGAGTGACTTTCCTTTCCCTAACTTGAGCCCTTAATACTTTGAGACAAGAACCCAAGTTTTCCCCAATTTTTAAACTGAATCTTAACAATCATCACTCATATTGTCACAGCAGCTATACGGTTATTTTTCCAAAGAGGTTACAATTACAAATAAGACATCACCAGGACATATATTTTGGAGACCAAATATGGACAAGTTTTGCATCGGAAGTATAAAATTAACCCCCCACCCATAAGTATGGGAGGAATACATAACAGCCTGAGGAAAGGAAATAAACATGATCTGACCAAAGCAGTAAAACAACTTTTGTACAAAATAAGATTCTATCAGCCCATGGTGTCCTGAGAAAGAAGCAAGGAGACCACCTATAAATCTGGTTAAAGATTTTATAAAAATAATCTTAGATAAATATAAACAATTTAAAACTGCACCACAGAAGATATTTCACAAGTGTGCATATGAAACAAATTGTTTGAAATTGAGGTCAATGATTCCTGACAAGATATTTCTCAAAGAGAACACTTGTAAAATATGGACATATTTATGTAGATTTGTTATTGTCATAGGAGTTGAAATTTAATTTTCAATCTTTTTCTGAAAATTGAAAAATTCAGTTACACATTAGCACCTCAAGCTTATATAATATCACTTAGAGAGAATTAGGTGGCCTTGGTCAGGAGCACTTCCATTATTACTTCCCTTTATATATCCTCATTTGAACAAAAAAATCCATCTGGATGTGTAGACTGCTCCCCCTAAAGGAAAGCCAAGCACATTCAGATCACAAGTTTCTACTATGGCATCTGTCCTTTTGTACATGAAATGGATTTCAAGTTTCCTAAAAGGATTTACCCTTCAAAGTGCATAATTTTCATTTTCCATGTCCCCAACCCACATTCTTCAATTGCATTAAAGTCATAATTTCCTTGCAGGTGATGATTATTAATATGCAAAACCTGTCCCTTTCACTCTGCTATATACCTTTGGTTTAGAAGGAGCAACATTTGCTAAGGCTATTTACCATACTGAGAATTCTGTTAACTTGCGGTTGGGAAAGAAGTATCCGAAACCCCTTCTAAGTATTTAACTCCATGTATAATCTGGCCATAAGTATACCTTACCTGTCTCGTCACAGTGTCGTGTAGAGCACACTGAAAGGTCACCAACATCCTGGGGAGATATGTAGGGAGTCTTTCATACATGTAGACACAAAGCATGAGCATCAGGATTGGATTATGGTCACAGATGTCAGAGGCCTAGTTTTAAAGAAGAGAAATATAAATAAGAGAATACACAGATAAAATACATAACTAGAGCTAAAGCATAGTACAGCAATCGTTGAAATACTTTAAAATCTTTTAAAATGTTACTGATTGGCAGTGTAACTGAAATGTAGACACAACAAACAAAATATTGCTGTGAATCAGAAGAGCTTGACCTAAGCGTTAAAAGATGAATGAGAAGTGTACTAAGTATAGCAATGACCTCAGAGCCTCAAAGACTCCATAAAAGCCACTCAGAGATCAGAAAAATACTACACACTAGAAATACTGGCTAATGTGACTAAGACACTATCCCTGAGTTATTAAGGTATCATAGAATGCAGTGAAAGAAAACTTGAGAAGTAGACAACCTATTTAGGTAAAAGATGGCAAGAGAGTTTCAAGCAAAAGCCCAAGGGAGAAGGTAACACATGAGATGACCTTGAAGACTGCTTGAATTTTAAACAGGCTGTCTTTGGTGTGAAGTAAAGGGTATATTCTATCAGAAAGACAAAACTATAGGGCAAGAAAATAGGGAAGTACAGTGTTCACTTGGAAGAAGTACAATTTGAATCATGCATAAGGTAAGAAAGGACAGGGAGTGGAAGAAAAGACAGGAGTGCGAAGACCACATTGTGGAGGGATGGATGCCAGGGTGAGGGACTTGGTTTCTGAACAGGAAATAACACAAGAACAACAATTCAAGCAGATCAAGCAGCGGATGGCTGGGGAAATACTTTTCCCAGAACAAACAATAATAAGGTAGAAAATGCAATTATAGTGATGAACAAGATAAATTAGTGATGGTTGGTGGAATACATTTGAGATAAAATCCAGACTACGGGGGAAAAACAGCAGAGACAATGAACATAACCAGAATGCACACTGAAGCTAAAAAGTAGACTCAGCAGCAGAAGGAGGGATTCTTTCTATCAGTTTATATAGTGTCTTTGATCTAGAACAAGGTGGAGGTAGTGGGGAGAAATTATTCATAGCAAAAAGGAATTGGGATTGGTCTGAGGCAAGGATTCAAAGACATACAATACCACTGATAAACAAGCAACTCAGTCACTGTCATTGTACAGGGAGCTCTCGACACTTCCATAAAATGAAGATCATAGTATGACTTAATGGCACACATTCAAGTTAGCAACTCAAAACGACCTGGGCCTGGCCTGCAAATGCAAATAGTGCGAGAGCTATGGAAGTTGAAAGTGTTACAGTAGCCCCCCCTTTTCTACCGCTTCGCTTTCCACAGTTTCAGCTACCCGTGGTCTAGTACAGTCCGAAAATATTAAAAGGAAAAGGAAAATTCCAGAAATAACTCATAAGTTGTAAATTGTGCACCGTTCTCAGTAGTGTAATGAAATCTCCCTCAGTCCTGCCCAGGATGAGAACAATCCCTTTATCCAGTGTGTCCACCCTGTATGCACCACCCACCCTTTAGTCAGGTGCTAGCCATCTCAGTTACCAGATCAACTGTCACAGTATCACAGTGCTTGGCTCAAGTCACCCTCATTTTATTTTATTTTATAATGTCCCCAAAGCACAAGAGTAGTGATGCTGACAATTCAGACATGCCAGAGAAGCTGTAAAGCGCTTCCTTTAAGTGAAAAGGTAAAAGCTCTCAACTTTATCAGGAAAGAAAACAATATTGTATGCTGAGGCTCCTTAGATTTACTATAAGAATGAATCTATCTGTGAAACTGTTAAGAAAGAAGAAGAAACCCATGCTAGTTTGCTGAGAGAGACCATATTTACATAACTTTTATTAGCAGTAGTTATTGTTGTTAATCTCTCACTGTGCCTAGTCTATAAATTAAACTTTATCATGTATGTATAGGAAAAACATAGTATATAGGATATATATAGTGTACAGAGTGTTGCGGCATCCATGGTCTCAGGCATCCACTGGGGGCCTTGGACACATCTCCAGTGAATACGGGGGGGCTACTCACTCTATGTGGAACTAAGGCACTTGACTCTAAAATTTGGCTCCGGTTACCAGAGAATAATTTTTATAGCCCATCTAATCATCTGCTAATTCTCATTTCCAAAAACATTCTTTTCTTTTTATGGAAGAAGAGATGAGTTTATTCTTTCCTGTTTTGTCAATAAGCAGTAAGGTTTGCCAATAAAGGTAACTGGGGAGGGGATTGTGAGTAAAAAATAAGGGAGCTGGCCTGTCTCAGCAGAGTAGAAAGCAGCTAGTGAGTATGATCTGAGAACTAAGAAAGATTCCAAAATTCCAAGGTTTCTCATCAGTATTCCGTGTTCCCACATTTCTTTAATGAAGACAATGGTAGTCAACAAATATAGGAATGTTATTTAAAATGAGAAGAAACTAAATAATTAAATACAGAGTTTAATTCCCACAAAGTGGGCCAGCCGATGGGATGGAAAGTGTATTTGTTGGAGAAAGGAGAACACTAGTAACAAAACACTCTGAGCCCCAGTTTGAGGTCAGTAAAAGTCTTCTGAACGTTCTTTTAGTGATTATAACATAAAAGATATAGATAGAAATATAAAAAAAGTATTCCAAAAAGTCATACTTGAAAATTTGAAAATAAAAAAAATATTTATCTTAGTGGAAAAATATATTTGATAATTAACATATTAAACTGGAAAACCAAAAAAAATGTATTCCTACCTTTCTTCATGATAAATTTCAATGAAAAATAACCTAAATTACTTTACACTTTAGTGTAAATTAACTACACGTTAGTCAATCCTAAGCTTAAAAGCCAAGTGTTAAATTAAGTTTCCTTAAGACAAGATTTTCATGTGAAGTATCTTTCAAAGACATAATCTTTTTCTCTATATAGGTCTAACCTAGAAGAACTTTTATTATATTGATCCATTTTTACCAGTGATGACAGCATTTCCTATTGTACTATCAAATGATAGGGAGTTAAACAAATAAACAAACAAAAAAATCAGAGAAAAATGCTGGAGTAGAAATCTGGTAAACTAAATTCAAGTCCTGCTACTACACAGTGTCATGATCTTGACTAAATAGATTGCTTTCACTAGGCCTCAGTTTCTTCATCAGTGACAAGAAGAGATGAGATGGCACTGAGCTTCATGGTAAATTTATTTCATTTGCTATGACTTCAAGATACCACCAGCTTTCTAACTAGACACCAACCATAACTAGCAGTATCCACTGACATACTGTAATCCCATAGAGAACACCGTTGACTACCTTCCCAACAGCAATTATCTCCTTTCTTCTTTACTAAGAATCCCAGTTTTTGTGGGTGTGCCATTATCTTTATCAAACACTGCTTTAGCTGTAAGTATGGGATGCAATTCTGGTCAATAATACACAATGGGAAATATGCTGTGGGACCACTGAGAAAAGTTTAACTTAAGGAAAAAGAGAAGCACAATAAAAGGGTGCTATTCAACCAGCCCTAAGGGGAGCAGTGCGACGGTGTTACACGAGAATTTCTGGGGGAATTTCATGGGTGTTAGTGCACATATAAGCCAGTAGACTGAGAAGGGTTGAGCAAATTAAATCTCTGAAAACTCTGTTGAAAAACTGAATTACTATCCAGATAATATTCTACTGTCTGATTTCATCTTACATAAAACAGTGAATCTACTTTTAAACCACTTTTACTCATGAATTCTGTTATTTATGGCTGAAACATCCTAGTTGATAAAAACAAACAAAATTTTAAGAGAAAAGTTAGGTCATCTATTCACCGTTAGCTCTCCTCACTACTCAGTGAATTATATGTAGTATGACATCTATAAATGTTTATCATATTTATTTTTATATCCATCCATCTGCATATAGAAATGAAAATACATTCTATGCTGTCCAAACAAGTCCCAGAATATTTTTGCTTAACATAAAAAGCATGTCATGAAAGGGAGACTATGTAATAACTGTATATTCCAACTCGCAAGATTCCACAACAGGACACGACATTGGCTCAGAAACTTATCTAGCTGATTCAACAGTTGCAAAGGATGTAAAAAATAAGGAATGTAAACATTAATAAATAAATCCAGTGCTAAATTTCACAGGATTCAAATGTGGGCCAGTACTAAGCATCAGTACTGATTTATTATGGCTACGCTAATTTAATGGTGATATTTTTAAACTCTGCCATCTAATGTGGTTGGTAAATCCAGGCTGGTTAAAAGTTAGTGAATTGGAGCTGGCTGGTAAAAGCCTGGTAATTACCTGCTAAGTTAATTGTCAATTTCTCTAGTCATCAAATCTTGGACATCTCTACATTTTTAAGTAGTAGATATATTCTTTAATATTTTTAGCTATACAATTAAAATAAACATTTTGAGTCAACATATCTGAGGAAATCAAAAAACAAAGGAGAGAATCATAACATGATGAATTATATTTTCTAAACAACGATATTTTCATATTCTTATGAACTTCCAGCAAATTCTCAAGGGCTACCTTAAACACCAAGTGTCCCATGCAACTTTTCCTGGTGTCCTTATTAGAATGACTTCTCTTCCCTTTTGGTCCCATAGCATATTGTTTCTGTGTCTATTGCGGCATTCACTGTCTGCTTTGCACTTAGCTCTTTTTCATGTATTTGTCACTCATAGTGGTTAATATCTTTGAAGGCATAAGTGTGTTTTAACCATATCTATACCCCTTGCAGGGTCTGTCTGCTGTTTTTCATAAAGGAGATTCAATAATTTGTCCAACTGATGGAAATGGTAGTATTTTTATTCTTCCAAACCGAAATCTTTTAGTAGAGTTTACCTTTAAAACTCTCTTATACAAAAACTCTGACCAAAATCCTTGATTACAGTTTCTCTTTACAACTCTACGAATATATAAGAATGTACATGTCAAATGTGGTACAAAGTAAGTTTACCATGCAAGTGACGATACTAGTACCCAAATGTGGGTTGATATAAAGTAATGCCTTACACTTGCTAGAAAGAAAATACTTTGGTCCTTGACCAACTGAAATTGCCTTTTGATTGGTCTGTTTCTCTGTCCCCAGTCCCACTCTTCCCAGTCCATCCTGACTATTGTTATAAAAGTAAATGCCTTTACTCCCATAATACCCACAAAGTAAACTACTGACTTTTTATGCTGATCTAAGAACCTAATATATGCCCATGTCTATTTCTAATCCTAAATTTCAACCTAGGCAACCTAGTCACACATGTTCCTTAATATATGTGATTTGTTCACATTTATCAGAGACAGAGACAGAGAGAGAGAGAGAAACAGACAACAGGCCTGTAAAATAGATCAATTGTGCTAAGTCCATGTCACTAAATTGAGACTTAATACTAAACTAATTACAATTTCAGCCTCTTCCAAGAATGTAATCCTAACTAGTCAGTCTGGAATTTCCTGGTCACACTAGTGAGGCCATTTGCCTGATGACCCCAAAGAAAGGTGACCCTGTCTGAAACAATCCACACTTTCCCAGTCACTTCCTTGTCCTACCTGCCTATAAAAACCCTCCACTTTATGCAGCTCCATGGAGCTCCTTTCTAGTTGCTAGAGGGGATGTTGCCTGATTCATGATTTATTAAATAAGGCCAACTAGATCTTTAAATTTACTCAGTCGAATTTTGTTTGTTCTACATTCTGTTTATGACATATCCTCTGAGTAATCACCTTCTTCTCTTACCATTTACAATCGAAACTCAATCCGCCCTTCAAGAACCCAGATAAGTCCCGCTTCATTTACAGAGTCTTTGGTGGATCAATATAGACCACACTGATCTCTACACTTTTCTTTTTATACACACTGACAATTAAATAAGTAGAATATTATTTATCATTTAATATGCATATATGTTGATAATTCAAAGTTTGTATATTCTTCAAAGTCAGGAATAATTTATACTATTTTCATTACTCTAAAATAACAAAGTACCCAAAAATGTTAAGCATAGAATATAGTTTTGATTATTACTATTGAGGATTTACTGTGAAAAGCTAGATGGAATTACAACTTGGAGGTCCAAATGTAATGAAAATGTATATTACCATTATGATCTCTATATGAATACTTATTTTAAAACCAAAGTGAAATATTTTTTTTGTTACTAAATTAGAAGACGATAATACTATCTATATTCAAACAACTCTGCTCTTTTAATTCATTCTTAGAGCTCAGTAAGGTTAATAAAGCATTCATTCTTATAGGTTCAGAAAACTGGAGCTATCACTAGAACTTTCTTTTTATGTATAGTTGGATGCATATAATTATATACATTAAAAAATATCCTGTAGAGCCCAGCCGGGATGACTTAGTGGTTAAGCGTTGACTCAGGAACCTGGAGGTCATGGTTCGATTCCCGGTCAGAGCACATGCCTGAGTTGAAGGCTCGATCCCCAGCAGGGGACATGCAGGAGGCAGCTGATCAATGACTCTCTCTCATCACTGATGTTTCTCTCTCTCTTCCTTTCCCTTCCTCTCTCTGAAATCAATAAAAAACATATTTAAAAAATATATCCAGTAGAATTCTATGAAGTCATACTTCAATTTTTACATTTTAATAATATCCCATGAAAAGACTGTTTTGGTTTCGATTTAAAATTTGTGAAGAAAGGAATATTATAAAGGACTAAACTAACACTTTTCCAAAGAAGGCATACACATGGCAAACAGGTACATAAAAAGGAGCTCAACACCACTAATCATGAGGTAAATGAGTCAAAATCACAATGAGATATCACCTCACACATGTCAGAATGGCTATTATCAAAAAGACAAGAAATAACAAGTATTGGAGAGGATGTGGAGGGAAAGGAGCTCTTGTGCACTGTTGGTAGGAATGGTGCAACCACTATGGAAAACAGTATGGAGTTTCCTCAAAAACTTAAAAACAGAACTACCATATGGTACAGCAATCCCACTTGTGGGTACATATCCAAAGGAAATGAAATCAGTATGGTGGAGATACCTGTACTCCCATGTTCAATTGCAGATTCACAGTGGTCAAGACATGGAAACAGCTAAGTGTCTGTGGACAGATGAATGGATAAAGAAAATGTGGGACACTGCCCAGCCAGCATGACTCAGTGGTTGAATGTCAACCCATGAACTAGGAGGTCATGATTCGATTCCCGGTCAGGGCACGTGCCTGGGTTGCGGGCTCGATCCCCAGTAGGGGGTGTGCAGGAGGCAGCCGATCAATGTTTCTCTCTCTTTCCCTTTCCCTTCTCTCTGAAATCAATAAAAACATATTTTTTTTAAAAAAGAATGAAAATGATACATACTTGCAATGAAATATTATTTAGTCATAAAAAATAAATCCTGCCATTTGTGATAACATGGATGAACCTGGAGAACATGCTAAGTGAAATAAGCTAGACACAAAACGACAAGTATTGTATGATTTCAATTATATGTGGAATCTAGAAGGTCAAACTCATAAAACCAGAGAGTAGAACAGTGTTTGTCAGGGGGTAGGGATGGGAGAAACTGGGAGATGTTTGTCAGAGGGTACAAACTTTCAGTTATAAGATAAATAAGTTCTGGGAATGTAATGTAAATCACGGTAGTTATAGATGTTAATAGTGAATTGCATACTTAAAATTTGCTAAGAGAGTAGGCCTTAAGTGTTCTCACCACAAAAAAAAAAAATGGTAACTATGTAAGGTGATGAATGTTTTAATTAACTTAATTGCAGTAATCATTTATATATAGTATACACACACACACATATATATAAAACATCATGATGTTGAGGAAACTCCATACTGTTTTACATAGAAAAATTACATCATACAAACTAAATATACATAATTTTTATTTGCCAATCATATCTAATAAAGCAGGAAGTAAATAAGAAAAGAAGACCCCCATAAAATATTTATAGAATGTATGATATAAATGAACTCACCTGTATACCCATGCTAAAGCCAATTTCACAAAGGCTATTCACGATAATCACGCAATTGTGAAAATACTGTTCAGAGCTTTTTGGTTGTGTGTACATATTTACAAAATGAGGCTCAATCTGGAAAAGGCAACAATCAAACAATCAAACCTTTCAGTAAGAGAATAAAAATGACTGCTGTTTTACTGTTCTCTGTAATTCAGCAAAGAATCGTTGAAATATTAACATTTGTCTGTAATAGACTACTGCAATCAAAATACAAGAATAGACAAAAAGGTAATTCTAGCCATGCAGATTCAAGTGTTACATAAAGTCAAAACATTTAAAAGAATCTGTTTGCAGGAAATGCTTTGAATTTAAATTACTAAGTTCTTTCAAATAATAGAAGACCATTCTGCATAAAAATAACTCTTACCAGAAATGGACAATAGGCTCCCAACACTGTGGCAAAAGCAAGGCCATCTGAAAGGTCTCTGTCAAAATTTAGTATCCATCTCTCAGAGGGAACACCTGTTCAAAAAAATAAATAAATAAGAATATAACAATAGTTTTACTTTTCTAAAAAGGTATCTTATGGAAATTTGAGCAATAGTCAAAGAAACATTTGTCTTTGACTGGAAAAGAAAAATAATAATATTATGGAAATGAAAACAAAATTTAAACCTCAGAAGCTTGATACCAGGAAATATATCTGCTGCAAGGTTTTATAAGCAACTGCAAAAGCTGTCTCCTTTTATTTATATTTGAACAGTTTTGAAGAATATACTACCATGTAATAATGGAAGAAAAATCGATGATTTCAAAATTACTCATTCAGTAGAGTACCTTGGAGTTCAAATATTTGATCACAATCATCAACATGGGTAAAGAAGCTCAGAAGACATGAAGTTACTTGTAACTCTAAAGTTTTAAGGCCAGTTTTCCTATCTGTTGCAGAAATTCTTCCACATTTAGGGTAAGTGGAAGGAGATGGAGATTTATGGCTTAAAGAAACAAGAATTGACTTACAAAAGATAACACAAGAGGGAGGACTAATAAAAGGACTTCTCAGTTACAGAACTGACTACTACACTGAGACTAGAACAAAAGACAAAGCATCTGGATATTTAGTAAATATCTGAAGGACTGTCCTATTTTAGTGAGGGGGGGTGATTTAAACATTGGAAATCAATGTTATATTTAATGTGACATTTCCTTTTTTAAAATGTTTCCAAAAGGGCCTAGATTATTACTGGTTTGAGATGATCTTGTGTATGAAAACAAGGAGAAAATTGGTGATCTTCATAAATTCCATCAAATCTCTTAATTCCCATTTTCTGTGAAGAACAAACTATGACAAGATATTTGTGACATGCATATTAATTCCACAAATGAGAACTGCTTCACATCTGAACTGTAAGACTTAGTTTTCTCTAAAACCACGGATGTCCTGGAATATTTCACAGAAACAGTACCCAATACCCTTTCACCTGAGATGCTACAACATTGAATGTTTCTATAGGACTTCTATTGCAAAATCAGTTTTGCACACAAAGATCACTAGTAATTGCCAACTAATTCACAGCATACATTTTGCACTAGTTTTCAAAGTATTTTTTCCTAATAGAAACTTCTAAATAATATTTGGTATAAGATGTGAAAAATCAAAGAAATGATTTTAAAATGCACATTTCTAGATAGCTATATAATTATAACCTAAATGTGTTTCTCTTAATGTGTACTTACCACTCATGTCTTCTAATATAAGCAAAGGGTCTCACTTTTGTAGCAGATGTTCATTTTTCTATGAACTAGAAGCAATTCTAACTTTAATCTGAAAAGGGCAATTTACTAGCCTTTTAAGTTGATGGTGAATCAGTCAGTTAGCAGGGGAGTTAGACCGTGTGCTCTAAATATTCCACCCTCATCTTGTACAAACATTAGAAAAGGGATAAAAATTCCCCTGGAGTTTAATATTTTGTGGAGGAAAGGTCACACCCATAAAGAGAAACAACTAATGAAAAATCTCCTAACTAGAAGCTAATGAATAGATAACAATATAGCAAAAACTAAGTGTTATACTGTTATTATCAACTCCACAACTGCAATCCAGCACCACAGGATGCATTATGACTTTCCCTATTTCCTTATTTCTAACTGGCCCTCATTATCTACAATGTATTTACTTATTTGTTCAACACTAGTATACATATATAGTACCTTCAGAATTGTAAACCCATAGCCTTGCAAGAAAGTAATGTGCATGTACAATATTTTTTTGTCTTTAATTCTACAGAATGCAGTCATGATATTGTTTTCAAAAGATAATTAAGTCAGCCCCTTTCTTCTCCATTACATTCAGTGAAGTTGTCAAACATTTGTAATGCAGTTCCATTTGTCATGTGTCACATTCATTTGTCACAGCCTGCATTCCATCCTGGATTGCTTCCATGTCTTGGTTGATTAAAAAAATACATATACTAACATTAAATCACTCTTTGGAGTGCAGCTTCTAGGATTTTGACATATACATTGTCATATATTTACCACCATAATACCACACAGAAAAGTTTTATCACCTACACCCCCAAAATTTCCATGTGTATTTTAGAGTCAATGTATTAATATTTACAAAAATAAGTGTGTGACGTCAGAGCAATGGTGCCATGAGAGATATCCTTGGCCTCTCCCCCTGAAATTTCAACAAATTAACTATAGTTCAACAAAATATTTCCTACTCAACACACAGGCACGCCTGAGAGACCCTCCATTGAAACATCTAAAGGTGGGAAACTGGGAATAAGCAGGGAGACCAGAAGGGAGGAAAGCCCAGACTGCCCTCAGATGCAGCCCTACAGCCGGGAGCTCGTGGTGCAGCTGGAAGAGGGGAGGAAGCCGAAGGTAGCAGGCGCTTCCTTCAGCCTGCTCAGAAGAACAGAGAGCTGCCAGAAGCCAGTCCAGCAGGGCGAGCAGGGTGAACAGTGACTGAGCCAGCAGGTGCCTGACAGAGTGCAGGATCCTGCTGTGTGGCTGTCAACTGTCAGGCTGGCATGTTTCTGACAAAGAAACAGAAAAGCAGAGAGCTGCAACCGCTTGGACTCCCAAAACTTGCCTCCTGTTGCCCTCAGTGTCCTGTTAAGGAACATTTTATCTGTAAACCAAGAGCTATTGCAGTAGAACTGCTCTTTCTCTCCGTGACTGATCCCTAGGTGGCGTGCTTGAGGCTGGATCCCACAGAAGTCTGGGTTTGCGATTATGGTGAGGGAAAAACAAACCCCACCTCCAAGCAGCGGAGCTGTCTTACAGAAGCCATGGAGGTCAAGTCTGGGACATCTCAGAAGTAAAAAAAATCTTGTGATTCAGCACCATCTACTGGAAAAACAGTAGAAAGACCTCTTCAGAGAACACTGCTATAGTAGGTATTTTTATGCCTAGATAAAGGAGATGAGCAAATACCATGAAAAACGTGGTAACGAGGATGATCAGAAAGAAAATGAAAACTCCCCAGAAAGCAAGCTGGAATACATGGAAATATGTGATATAAATGACAGAGATTTCAAGATCGCAGTTCTAAAAATACTCAACAAGATGCGAGAAAATACAGACAGGCAATTCAGTGTACTCAGAAAACAAATCAATGAATAAAATGAGTCTCTTTACCAAAGAGTTTGAGACTTTAAAAAAGAGCCAATCAGAAATCCTGGAAATGAAGCATGCAAGTAAGGAGATTAGGAATGAGCTACTGAGCATAGAAAACAAAGCCAGCCACATGGAGAAAAGGATTAGTGATATTGAAGACAGGAATCTAGAAATGATGCAGAGGGAAGAAGAGAAAAACCTAAGCATGAAGAAAAATGAAAGAGCTCTATGAGAATTATCTGACTCCATCAGAAAAATCAATATTAGAATAATGGGCATTCCAAAAGAAGAAGAGAGGGAGAAAGGGATAGACAGTCTGTTTCAATAGTGGATGAGAACTTCCCGAACCTATGGAAAGAACTATATCCTCAAGTTCAAGAAGCCAACAATACACCTAGTAACCTCAATCCAAAGAGACCCTCTCCGAGGCATAGTACATTAAAACTGTCAAAAATTAATGACAAAGAAAAAATTCTCAAAGCAGCCAGGGAAAAGAAGGAAGTAGTCTACAAAGGAAAACCTATCAGAATATCATCTGATTTTTCAGCAGAAACTCTACAAGCCAGAAGAAAGTGAAACCAAATATTCAAACATCTGAAAGAGAGAAATTTACCAACCACAAATAATATATCCAGCAAAAGTATCCTTTAACTATGAAGGAGAAATAGACATTCCCAGACGTACAGAAGCTGAGAGATTTTATCACCAGAAAACCTCCATTACAAGAAATACTCAAGGGAGTTATTCTACCTGAAACAAAGAACATAAGGTCACAACACTATGAATAAGATCACCAAAACAACTTATAGCATAAACAGGGATAATTTGTGACAACAAAAACATAAAAGAGGAGGGAGTAAAGGTCTGAACTGGAAAAGGAGGATGAACTTTTTTTTTAAAGTACAGTGGGCTTTTCATTGGATTTACACCATTTTTATATCTTAACAAGTCCTCAACTCCATATGCATGATACATTTCTCTAATTCTCTTTGATTTCTTTCATCCATGTTTTGTAATGTTCAGCACATTTATCCTGTACATATTTTGTTAGGTTTATACTTAAGCATTTTATTCTATGGTAAATTATATATATATTAATATCAAATTCCAATTGTTTACTGCCATTCTATAGAAATAGTATTTACTCTTGTATAGTGATCATATATCCTACAACCTTGATAAATTCATATACTAGTTCTAAGAGCTTTTTTTGTAGATTGTTTCAAATTTGCTACTTAACTGTCATGTTGAATCTCAGCCCCTTCCCCAGGGGTAAAGATGGTGTGTGTGTGTGTGTGTGTGTGTGTAAGCATGTGTGCACGCACACAGGCATTGTCAAGTTTCTTTTTGCAGCTGCAATGAGTTTTACCATGGCACTAAGGATTGACAGTATGCACTGTCCTTCTCCCCATATATTAAAGCTTTTGTTCTATATGGAATATAGGAGTCTGCACGAATTGCTTGCCCCTCCCCTAGGTCTGCAGTATAGGAAGCATATTCTCCAGACTCACTCCAGTCATTTCTGTGAGCAACCAGTGAGGTCCGTGGAGTAAAAAGCGGACACAGACTCCCCCTACAACTGTGACCCCCCAGGGACTTCATGCACTCTCACTAGTGTATACTTGGCCTCTATCAACTCACCAAACACCATACTCAACTCTTCTCATCAGTATTTAGCTGTCTCTACCACAGCAGGCAACTGATACTATCCCATTTCTTCCTGCAAGCACCTACTCCTCGTTGGACTTTGGGCTATTTTGTTGGCCTACAGCCTCAGCTTCCTAGGGGAGCTTTAAAACAGTGAGAATTTACCGTTTGTATGGCCTCTGCTATTGTAACAACAGGGAGAAAAAAACTCTTTCCAGTCGTCCTCTACTTCCCTGAGAAGAACC